ATGTATTGGAGAGTTTGGTAGAGCCTATCATAGAAGAATTGATTCAACACGCCCAAGCAAAAGTGATGATGTGGGCATTGGAGTTGATAGCCCTTGAAACGCTCTCATGCTTCGTGAAAAGTCTCGCCCGGGTTTTGGCTAAAGCTAGCCATTTGTGCTCGGAGATCGGTTGTCTTTTGATGCGAATAATACTTGCCCATGAACTTCTCATAGACGGCTTTCCACGTGTTGAGTGAGTTCGGAAGCAATGTCATGAACCAAGTCTTAGCCCGATCTTTCAAGGTATAGGGGAAACATCTCATGCGAAGTTGGTTTTCGGTTAAGCCTTGGAGAGGAAAGGTGTTGACCGTGGAGTAGAAGTCTCGGATGAAATTGAGGGCATCTTCTTGTGCAAGGCCATAAAATGAGGAAGTTGGTTGAGGTGGATCGTCTTGAGGTCATAGTTTCAGGCCGCCTCCCCATGCACAAGGCACGAAGTGTTGTCTCCAATGATTGGTCATGCAAAGTACCTCATGTTTTGGGGTGGTTGTGGTAATTGACCTCCTTGTCCCGCCATTGGTTCGGGTTCCGGTTGTGGTTCGTCTATGTTGAGTTCAACGAAAAGATTTAACGGTGGAGTCTCCTCTCGGGTTGCTTTCTTCCGTCTACCTCGCATAAACACAACCAACAACTATACCCGTGAATGCACCAATGGGAAACAAGAGCAAAACACAATCAAGAAACACAAACTATCTACAAAAGCATGAGGAATCAAGAGAAATACGGAAATTAATCAAAGTTCACGAAAATCAAGAGAAACACATGAAAATGGGACAATCAAGTAATAAACTAGGCGTCCTACTTGTCGTCCCCGCCAACGGCGCCATTTTGTTCTGTAGTATTTTGAGGGTAGTTGGTAACCGAGCTACCCGACCTCGAGTCGTTCTCAAAGGAAGACGGTTCGGAGCTTCGTTCACCACTCAACTGTCCAAATCACACAAAATGAGAAAATAAAAGCTAAACATGCTAATCAATTTGGATTGGGGATGGATAAACACTAATTGCACGAGGAAGTAAAAACGACAATCAACGAGAGAATAACGCAATTAACACTATCGGAGTCTCTAAGCCATCAACATCAAACGAAATCAACAACGAGAAGTATGCAAGTTCTAACACTAGATCACTAACCCCAACCTTCTAGCCTAAGTGATTAAGCTCTAAATAGAGTCCTAACCCTTAATCTAGATAGGTAAGCAATTAGTCCCTATTAAAACAAGCATGAGCAATGATCAAGTCCAAGCATATCCTCCATCATCAAACAAACACTCAAATTCACCTTGAAAAATTCCATAAGTAAAAATGAGGCAAAAATCGAAGTAATGAGCTTTAAAAGTAAATACCCAATCTTCTATTGCAGCTAGATGAAAATCGGAATCAAAAGCTCAGAACTTGAACAAAATAAAACTCGCCGGAAAACTTGCCGAAAAATGATGTCATAGAGCTCCCAAGAGAGAGAAGAGAGAAAACTAAAAAGAAAAGCTTAATTCCTAAAATAGAAAAAGTGACAAATGAAACCTTGAAGTCCAAAATACAAAGGGCCAAAATGTATTTATAGTGCAGCTCAAAACAAACACTAGTTTCACGCACATTTAATGAGAGATACTCTCGAGCTGGCGGAAATTTCCGCGGGTCGCGGACACGGATGGCACGGGGTGCGGCACGAGGCAGGCTTGGTGCGGCGCGAGGAAGAGCAATGCTCTCGAGCTGGCGGACGGGCCAGCGCGTGCGGACGGGTCAGGAAGCCACTACTCTTGATGTCGCGCAGGTGCTCGCGCGCGCGGACAGCACGGAAGAAACACTCTCGACCTCGCGAGTGGTTCCGCGCGCGCGGACGTGTAGGCCAGAGGCACTCTCTAGCTCGAGGGAGAATCCGCTTGGCGCGAGCGGCAGATAGCATGCTCTCGAGGTGGCGTTGTGCACGCGATGACGGTGCTCTCGCGGTCGCGGGGAACCTCGCATGCTCGCGAGTGGTGCTAGGCAGGGCGCGAGGTCGCGGGCTGAGGTGCAAGGTCGCGACTTCCAGGGCCAACTTTTGAGGACTTTAGTCAACAAGGCTCGACATACTCGGAATGGAAACGGCTCGTACGAATTGGCTCGAAACTTCTCAGAGCTCAGCTCGAGTTCTCTCATCATCCTCGGATTAATTCTGAAAATATACCCAAGAGCACGGAAAAGTACGCCAAAAATAGAATAAAGAAAAAGACAAAGAAAACACACGAAATACGATAAAATGGACCGGTCGACACTAAAACGAACCTAAAAAGACTAAACTAAAGCACATAAAACACACGAAAAATAAGCACAAAAACACAATAAACAACTAATCCACGAAAAACGGGTGAAGAAGGTAGAATCGCCTCAAAATAAGGTTTCTGGCGGCTTTAACGGCTCAAAACAGTCTCGGGAGGTCGAAAATGCCGTTTTCGGCCGAAAATGTCGACGGCAGTCGAAAAACGGGACCCGAGAGGTTCGCCGAAAAATTTGGCAGGAAAAGTCAGCGGTCGCCGGAGGCCGAAAAATATCACCGGCGGTCGTCAGGTGCGCCAGGGCTCGGTGGTTAGTCCGATGGCTCGATGTGGCTCGGTGGTGCTATGGTGCGGTGCATGCGGGCATAGGTCGCGGCTTGGTTGGGCATGGTGCGGGTGCGCTGGGCAGAGGGCGCGGACTCGGGCGCGAGGCGCGGGGCTAGGACGCGAGGTCGCGGGTTCCTTCGCCACGCGGGTGCTAGAGCGCTGGACTTGGGGTGCGA